GGTTGCGCAGTCCGCAAACGCTTCATTTTTAAAAATGTTAGCCGTCAAAACTTTGGAGACGTATCTTCCCATCTTCGTTTGTCGTGATATCCACGAGTGCTGCATACAGAGTGCAGCACTCATTCCATGCCAGGCTCCTTCAAAAGGACTATACGTGGCCTATTTTGGAAACCGCTAGAAGAAAGGGAGAGTGAAAGTAAAATTCCGAACAATGTCCTATCAGTTATTACAATTATAAAACGAAGATCATTTTATATATCCCACACTATTGTGGTCTGTGCTCTACAGTCAGTAAAAGCCAACAGTTTTTATATGTAGTGCTACATTTCTTGGTGAACATAGAAGTAGGAAAGCGACCTTAACAAAAGATTCTGACTGTTGTTATGTCGGCAGACTGACGATCAGAGGGAACGCTAAAACACACTCCGATCCCGCGATATTAGTTACTTTCTTAGCGAGATTTTGGCTTCACATTAAGGTGCAGTTGTGTCTTTCGGCCGCCTTCTTGAGTGGAGCTTAGACTCTGCTCCCGACTGCCACCTTTCGTCTAAAAACATTCTGGGTTCCAGCCTTACCGTCTACACAGGGCAATTTGTTTGACTTGTGAAACCGCTGAATTTTTGGTTTATACCAAACTAATACAGAATCTTTATTTTATTCTGAGTCAGATGCAAATTTTCCTATTCCTCTTACCTGCAGCTACATTGATCTACTTACCGAATTGGAGAAGTACTTTATTATCGACGAGCGTGGAATGCCAATAAACTTCGAATGGTACAATTGTTTTGATGAAAGCCGTTTGTCTGGTAAATTGCATATAAAATGCGATCCTTACCTACGCAGTATTCTTATCCTCGGAGTTTGAACGCGGCTGCATGGTCTTTTGTCTTGCTGCGCTCTATTCGGCGTATGCTGCCAATGCAGCAGAGGACGACGCAATAGTTACTTACAAGGTTGTTTAACGATTTTGCAACCGAGTGAACACTTTTTTTAAGAATATCCCTAGTATTTATGAAATATCTTTCTCCTTTTTACTATCGCCACTAATTGCTGCTACTGTGTTTGTCCTGTAGCAGGTACACGGGGACCATGTTAAGCAATTAACCACCTTTGGAGTTATCCGGGTCAAGGTTTGCCCTGCATTACCGATAAATCATAATTTTGTACAACAGGTGACTGCGTACGTGATAATAGCTGGTCATAGTCACACAGGCATGATGATTCACTGAGCCGGTTGCGAAACGGAACATACTCGTTCTGTTTTGCCTCCTAACTCCAAGTAGGTCTCACATTCGATCACGTAGAGCAGCATTAAATGCTGCGAACATGACGTAAACCCTAGGTTCTAGTGATACAGCACATGACTTCAGCTATTGACAGTTGTTCGACCTTCAGTTGAAATATGACTGACTAACGATGCCGGATATTTCGAAGTTGCTTCTGAAATCTCCTTTGTTTCACCTCCTTTAACGCTAACAGATATTGGTCAGGTCTACATTTTCTTTTCATTTCTAGAGAAGGCTAGAGTTTGGTAGACAAAAGCTGCACTTATTTCAGGGCCTGTAGAATGGAAATTTATTAACTTCACTTTAGTCGCTATCACCAATTTCCCGATGGCAGAGTGATTCCAGTTGTGCAATAGAAGTCTTATCGCCAATACAAGCGAGCATGCGAAGTCTTATCGTTAAGTTCCTTTAGGTGGGTGGCGATATTTTTCAGCTTAGTCTAAAGTGAACTTTTGTTAGCTGGTGAGGTGAACCAAACGTATCACTATGAAGGAAAAATTGCATCGAGGACCCCTTCTATAATGGACGTCTA